ACTGCAGTTGGGCGTTCAGCTCGGCATCGTACAGCTCCCCGGTCCGGCGGATGGAGGTTTTGTAGGTGCAGGTCCGGTCCTCGCTGAGCTCCAGCCCTAAGGTCGCCGCCAGGGCCTCCATCTCGGCCGTGTTGGCCTCGCTCGCGATGGCGAACCAGGCGTAGGGGTGGTGCGCGTAAAGGTGGCGCTGCACCGTCCAGATCGGCAGCACGTTGCGATGCTGTTTGGCGATCTGGCGGTAATAAAGGGCCTTGCCCGCGCCGATGTTGAGCTCCCCGCGGACGTTCATGTTCCAAATGTTCGCCAAACTCCACTCAAAGACTTTGCGAAAGCGCTGCTTGTTCGAGTCGTCCACCGCCACCTGGTGGATGGTGAGGGCGGCGGGGGTTTGGCGCTGCCCGGGGAGTTTGCTCGGGTCGATCGTCTGCAGGTGGATGTCGCTGGAGATTTGGTTGTGCAGGAGTTGAAAAGACCGCGGGACGAGCGGGTCGTAGCCGGGGCCGAGCCTCGTCGGCGCGACCTCGACGTAGTCGGCCTGCCGACGCTTTTCAAACCCCGGCTCGGCGCCCCAATCGCCGTACTCGTCGGCCTCATCAAGCGCCTCCTCGCCTTTGTCGTAATCCGCCATTTTCACCACCACCCCATCCCCGTGTTGGTCCTCTTGCTGGACGGCAATATTCGACGCCTGCTCCGCCGCGAGAATCTCCTCCACTTGACGAACCAACTCACTCTTCTTCGCCTGCGGGTTCATCCCCTCCACATGGCAGTGGGTCTCGAGAAAATAACGAAGTTCCGGTAGTGAAAGCGAAAAAAGATTCCCCTCATTCCACAAACCCCAGATGAGGCTGTGCGTGATGTGGTCAAACATACTCTTTTCCACCGCTGGGGCGCTTGCGGGAGTGGACGAGGACGTGTGAGGTGAGTCAGCGCCGTAGTATCGAAGTGGGAAATTAAAATGAAGGGGCGAACGGCCGCCCAGCCCGACGCGGGATGTGAAGGATAGAAAGGGAGCGGCGCCCAACCGCGAGGAGAGAAAGGGCATCAAAGAACTGAGGTTTCCGCGACGCATCTTGGGACCTTCAATGTTCAGTAGGCCACTTTATATTGAATAGGACGATAGTTAAAGCTGTAATTTTTTATGTGCGATGTTATGGATCTGTTTGAATAGCGAAGGAACGTGTAGAACTCCCCAACCTACCAAAATAAACAAAAAAACGCTCTTCCGTCAGAATTTGTGATAAATGTATTGGTTTATCGATGATTTATGAACCTTCCCGTGGTACTGTATTTTTAGCTATTGTAATCGCTATTCAAATAGTTGGGGTATGGATTTTTTTTTTAAGTAAACTAAGGTATTAATCAAACAAACACAACACATATAGAAACAATATTAATAATTAATAGGTTTTGAATGGGTTAGTTTATAATGAAACAGATGTTTCTCCAGCTTTGAAGCGCCTCCTGATCGCCGGCCTGGTTGTTAATATATCTTTACTTTTCCTTCTGGTTATCGGTAATGAGAATGGACATTCTTTTCTTTCGTATTGCGAGGGTTTTAAAGAGCAGCGCAATCACACTCGTGTAAAGAGCAAGGCGGTGTTGATCCCACCAAACCCCAAACTGTTGGAGATGACCGCCTCACAGTTCTCCATTTTCACCGTCGAGGATCTCTCCACTTCGGCCTCCGCGCCCTCCGACGGGGGTGAGTCACTTCGAACGAGGCAAAGGCCCCTCTTTTGTTGTTCTTCCTCAGTGATACAGGGCTGCTGGAGGTTCACATTGGGGGGCGCGAGCTGGTGGTAGAGGGCAAGCAAGGCGATCCCGGCCTCCACACTGCCAGCGGCCCCCAACATATGCCCGAGGCCGCCCTTCGTGCTGCTCACGTACAACGACGAGGCTCGATGCGAGGCCTTTGCCTCACAAAAGAC